TCCTGGTGGTAGAAGCGCAGCCGAGGGTAGGCTCATTTCATTCCACCTAGGACACGCCCTGCCGTGGGGAAAAATTTTTGCAGAATACGGCCACCTTAGAATTTTCCCGTCTAGTGATCCCTTTCCAATTCCCCATATTTTCTACCATCTTTCCGAATTTTCCCAAACCACTACCATTTTCATTTTTTTCCTAAAGCTTTCTTCAGTTTTTTTTTCATGTAAGTGCCGTCAGAAGGGGAGGGGGATGGGTATATCGCGCTATAGTGCACTTGAAGCTGGAAGAACCGAGCAGTCCAAAACCTTTTTCTCGAAGGCAATTACGCCCTTCCCTCCACCCCATGCTTCAATTGTGTATGTAGCAGGATGGTTCTCTGATTATATAACCCATAGCCCAATCAATGCAATTCATTCGTTGAAAGGCTCAGCTGCTAGCAAGGTGTCATTGTTGTAGTGCTAATTCACAACTTGATTTTTAGTGTATGTTTTCAACAAATCTAGCGCATGATACTTCCTACGGGAAGCACCATAATCTTCCAGTGCCAAATTCTCACAATCGGTAGAGGTTTCTTTCCACTCCTTTCCAGACAACACTGAAATTGACAAACCTTCCCGTCTCTGTTCAGCCCAAGCAGCTTTTACCGTAGTTGAAGACTTCTACATTCAGAGTAAGCACTTCACTGCAGTAATTTTGACGAATTCCTTTTCAGAGATCGTGAACCAGGCTGCACTTGTTGTTGTCATTTGAAGTCGGCCGTGACAATCTCTCCAAGGTCAGCACATTTTAGCGCAGCAGGTGGTCTGAGTATACACAATATCAAAAACGTCTTAGCAATTAAGTAGATTTTTATTTCTGTTATCGAATGTTTTTATTCAAGGGTTTAATAGAAAAGTGAGTCTTCGCCGTTGGGCCAATGCCCTTTCTAGGATGCGGGTAGCACTTCTTAGCCACCGTTACCAATCTTTGTACCAACTGCCATAGGGGTTAGAAGGCTTAGTTAGTCTGGGCCGGGGCCGATCTAAGGATCTGACTCCCTTATCGCGCGCGTGGTAAGCGTGCCACTTGCCATAACACCACCTCAGCCCTTTATTAGTCTTTATTCAAGTGTACATTCCACAGTGTTGGCTCAGCGACACAATTTCTCTGCCGAGTGAAAGGGTTGATCTGGTCACACTACTCAGTTATGACCTATTCGCAAGTCGAGACTGGGTAAAGAAATCTCGCTGGAAAACCTTCGTCACCGACGTAGTCCACCTCTACGAGAACGCTCTTTGAGCTGCTCTTTATCTGTATCATTTTCATTCCTGCTTGTTGACGGCTTTACCTTTCTATTTCAGTCACTATTCATCTGTTGATCTTGCTCATCTTTATCTTTTTATGCACTTGGGTATCTTTTCTTTTATTTCGGCGCTGAGTGGTGTACGCGTGGACGCGCGCGACACTGTCGCGCTTAGCCATCGCACGGCGTGGGTTCGAATCCAGAGTCGACACCCGCCAGGCCAACCAAGCCTTCTACCCTCCGGGGACGGTAAATTGGTACCAGATTCGTCTGGGAGGATAAAACACTGACTTGTACATCGGCTGGCCACCGCAAGTCATTGTATAGGCCACATCGCATTCAATAAGCCACTACGATTCTGAATGGAATGCGTGCTCCCACAAAGGGATTGATCAACGGCGAAGACTTTACCCTTTACTTTTTCTTTTTTATCTGATTTTTTATCTGACTCTGGGTATTCTAGCAAGACTGGCAATCAAAATAACATGCTCTGATAACACAATCTACCGCGTCACACCGGTCTATGCCATTTTAGAACCAGAAGAAGTGGTAGTATTAAATGTGGGTCAACTTTGTTTTATGGTACGAAAAAGATTGTCTCAGAAATGAACCCATTTTCAGATAGGAAGACTTGATGGTGTGCCAAAGAAGGATCGTCTCGGAATCCTCATGATTGACTACAGCGGTACGGGTAACGCCAAAGATGCTTTCAAGGTGAGGAGTCTCAACTGTCCACTCACCTCCGAGGACGGTCCTTGCCATGTGCCAGACAAATGGGTCCCGTAGCTTCAGTAGCGTACCACTTTCTCCCATTAGGAGTGCATGGGAACGGCTGGAGGATAGTGCCCGCTCCTCCTCTATATGGCTGGGCGTGTCGCAGCACGGCTGGA